GTGTGTATATATGTATCTTTCTCTCTCTCTCTCTCTATATATATATATATATATATATATATATATGTGTGTGTGTGTGTGTGTGTGTGTGTGTACACACCGCACCATAAGCCTTGCCCTTTTTGTGTCTTGCACTAGAGTTGATCAAAAAGAAATCTGCTAGATCACATGATTACAGTGCAAATGGCCGAGCTGCTGACAAGTATTAATATAATAATCAAGTGTTTCATGTTGCTTTAATTCAATTGTCTCTCTTAACATTTTGCGGCTGTGTCAATCAATGCGGCTGCCTTGTCTTTAAAGCAACAGAGGAGTCATCCATTCGAACTACCATTAAAACATCAATGTCTCATTTCTGCTAAATGGCAGAGGAAAGATAATCGGCATGTGTGCATGCATATTAATTAAATGATAATGAGACGATAAGCCCCCTCCTCTCTCTCTCTCTCTCTCTCTCTCCCTCTGCAGGTGTGGAGCCACTGATCAATTGGCAGTGGAATGGGCAAAAAATGTGTTTCTTTTATCCCACTACTGAAATTAAAAACCTATTTAGTGCCACATTTTCCAACAAAGTGCTTTTCATTTATCTTCTCTAGCACATTATTCAATCACACTTTCCATTTGTATAATGGTAATATTTTCATGTAATTTCCCGCTGCCTCTGAGATGGGTATTTTTGATATACTTTGTGAAATGGCTATTCCATTCCAGCTCCATTCATTGGATGGTAATAAACTTACAACCTATATTTCAGATTAAATGTCTTCAGCAAATGGAGCCAGAGCCCTCAGATGTATCTTAGCTAAGTGCTAAAGATCACTTCTGCTCCCTGGTGGCAGCAGAGGTGACTGCATGCAGTTTGCCAATGCCTCCTGGTGGCGAAGATTGAAAATGCTAGAATTATTTTTTTTTAAATCCCTGGCAGCATGTCATGATCTCCTGTATAATGCACTCACTTGTCTCTGACTGTCCAAATGAACATCAGTAACAGTCTTGTGATATGCAGAGCAATGCGATCCAGGCGGAGAGCTGAAAGGTACCCGCAGCTGAAAACATAAGCTGACTATCTTCAAGGCGCGCTGCTGTAGCCTGCAGCAGAATTGGAAGCGTTTGAAAGAGTGTGTTGTAACTATCAGCCCTGACCAGAGGTGTGAGCGCTTCAGAGGAGGAGGAGGAGGAGAATGAAGAGAGAGAAACAAACAAAAGGTGATGCAGAAGTGATGCTGCAGGGGCCTGCGTGAGGATCTAAATGAAGGCGACACAGGTTCACACAGGAGCACGACACAGTTTAAAATAGTATATTAATCACAAACTATTTTCTGCAGTATGAACACTAGTGTTTTTGTATGTGTGGCTGGCCCAGATGACACAGAGGTGGACTGGACAGTGGTGCAGCTTCGTCATCGCCTACTCCTCCTCCTCCTCCTCCTGCTGACAGGCCCTCCTTCACCCCGGACAGGCCAATCTGTACACACTGCAACACAGACACACACAGCCCATTTCAGTCACCACGCAGCCCATTTGTCATGTCAGATAGCCTCAGAGAGACGGAGCGGTCAACTTATAGAGGTGATTGTATCAAAGTGACCCCAATGCGATGGCCATAAATTGCTGGCTTTATAGGGGAGGTGCTGTATCCTCGTTTCATAGATAGAACTGAAAACAGAATGAGGGGAGCATAGTCAATTGACTGGAATGAGAAAACTATGAAAGTTATTTTTCATAGAGAAAAAGCACATTTGCACAGTCAGCCTGTTCTTCTCAAGCAGCACATACCTGGAACACCACACTCCTCCTCCAATTCTAAGAAACAGTTATCAGTGACTTAAACACGTCGTCATCTCATTGTTGGATTTTATTCTATTTCCATTTTGATTAGTTGGCACAATTCTATGACTTTATTTGTATTATTTTTCTAATTCAATTTATTTTTACAGATTTCTGTTACTTAAAAAAAAATCTTTTCATGTCTTTTATTCTGCTCTTTTTTTTTAGATTGGAATTGTTTTAAACTGTGATTTTTGATTTAAATGGATTTCTTTTAATTTTTTCACCTACAGCACCTTCAATCTACCTCTATGTATGAACAGTGCTTCATTAATAAATTATTGTCTGTATATGTGATTTTAATTAATCTTGTTTATTTGGCTTGTTAGGCGTGTCTTTATTTTCCTATCTTACTATCATGCCTTTGTTTGTGTCTCTGTATGCACTTCTGTAGTCTTATACATATATCTATTTGTATATTTGTATAATTTTTTACCATCAACTGTGGCTAAATCTGGAACTTTTACATGTTGAACTCAGGATCACGTTGATTAATGAGCATTGTCCCTTTTAGATCAATATACATTTCTTACTTTGAGTTTAGGATGAGTTGTTGTTGGAATTCAGCTGGAACTCTGTTTTTTCATCTTTGTCTTTGTCTGCTGTTCCATTGGTTTCCTCTGCGGACGCCTCCTTGGTGGACGTAGCTGTGTTCGGCCTCTCCTCTGGCTTCTCAGCAGGATCCACCACCACCTCCCCCCGGCTTGTGTTGCAACCCATGTTTAAGTCAAATCTACACTTGGCTAAGAGCTGTGCAGCTGATGGGAGTTGGGAGGCGAATAAAGGTTTAAAACACTGGTGCAAACCTTTCACACCCTGAACTAGTGTTGTGGGCTCAGGTGCCTTTGTGCTCTATGGCAACCTTGAGACGTCCTTTTGAGTTTGGGCACCTGGCTTCCTGTTGGTTTTACTTTACGAGCCTTTGTCTGCCGGCCACATCTCCTTTTTGTAATTACCTCCTAAGCAACACAGGTTGAGAATTAACTCAGTACAATGCCACAACATGGTTACTGATAAACACTCCAGGGGGTTGCGTGCCAATCACACGGCAGCCATGGTTACCAACTTTTAGAGTTTCTGCTCTGAGGAATTTATGAATTTTATTTATTATTCAGGCAGCTCGAGTCAGAGCAGGTTCTGATTTACATGTCTATATGTTACAACTAGAGCTTAGAGATGACATTCATTTGTTTACAGTGAAAACTATAAATCATGTTGTGATCTTTGCTGATTGGTCCATCAATGTTGCTGCTCTACCAAATAATAAACAAACAAGTTCATACAAAGCTCATTAGCGTTTTAAAAAGAGAAGACAGCAGAGTGAGGCTGAGTGAAAACCAGTTCCCCAGAGAACTGCATGTAATATTAACTAGAATATAAAGTGGAAATTTAATAGATTCCAAACAGCCTTCGTTGGAAACGTGTGATCATTTTCATTTTCTTACAGAGAACAAGACTTTACAATTCTTACACAGTAAGACATCTTTTAAATTAAATGTGTTTATAAAATCACTTTTCAATAATTTAGTCTCACTATCAAGGACCACACCCCAACTATATGTGATTGAAAGGTTTGAATGTAAATTTGATATGTTGGATGTTGAGGAGACACTCATGGACGTTGAGGTGAAGATGTGTCTGATTGGCTGGTGTGGGAGGATGTAGTGGTCTAAGTTAAGTTAACGAGTTGACTTAAGGTGACAGTTGGAGGAATGATATATATGCATAATTTTCAGGAAACATCATTACAGAATAAGAAAAAAGGATTTTAAAAGTTATTTGAGAGTTAATAACAGTGAACACTTCATAGACTATATCTATAATCTGTAGCCTTTATGTAATATTCAAGCAGGACACAGACAGTGCAGAAACCTCATATGTGATGTCAGAGGCAGACGAGCTTGTCCCACACTAACTGTGGCTTGAACTGCAGAGTCACACAATGTGACACACTTCCACCAGAGAGCTGATCAGTGCGACCACCATCCTCCTCAAACTGGCCAATGACAGCTTGTTAAGTGTTGGTCAACGACACTTAAGATGTTTTCAGACATGAACTCTAAGGCGTCAGAACAGAGATAGGAGATCATGTGTTACTGTTTACAGCACATCCAAATCAGTGTTGGCTCTTTTCACCAAAAGCTCTCTTGACTTCTTCATCAGTGTCTTCTTTGTGTTTGGCAACACTTTTTCTTCCCCAGATTGTTGTTGTTTGGCAGTTTTTGCATCTGGCATGTTTTAAAAATATCATCAACACGCTTTCTCACATGAACTCATTCGGACATTCTCCGAATTTTTACTAATGGCCTTGCAGAAGAAAATGCATAGAAACTCTGGAGCTTGTCTCTGACATTCTCACATCCGGATAATTTCCGGAGATTATCTGGAGTTCAGTGCATGTCTGAAAGCAGCTATAGACAGCATTATTGGTGTCAAAAACAATGCAGAGAAACCAAAACTATGAGCTAACAAACTTGGCACAATGGTTTTCTTAACAGATTGGAAGACAATATTTGCTTTGTGCTTTCCCTCTGACACCTGACATTGTAGTTACAGTTTCTGTGCTCCTCTCCTATTCCCTCTAGTGCAGATTTGGCTTTGTAACCAGAGAAGGTCGGCCCTGCTTCCCTCCCGCGAGGCGAGCGTTCACCACGCTCCTCAGTCTCCTCTGCCAGGCTTACTGATGGTCCAAACGGAGCCTTTTTGCCAAAGGGCGCTCGTCTCCCTCCTCCTCCTTCCCTTCCTCCAGCTTCACCAGATAGCGTCGCCTGGTGGGTGACCTGCCCGTCTTGATCATGTTGTTGATCTCTCGCAGACGCTGAAAAAAGGAAGGACATCCAAAATCTAGATTGCACACATGCAGTTCAACTGATAACAACAACAAAAAGCACATTGTACAGACCTCCGGGGGACTAGCGTTGAAGTAGTAGCACAGGCCGGTTGTACGAGGGGAGGGGGTGTCAGGGTTGTATGGTGAAATGTAGACGGAGGGGCGCCTGAGCACCTGGTGTCTGCGAGGAGATGCTTTCCACGGTTGAGGATATGGAGACAGAGGAGGAGTGTCACACTGCATAAACATTCCACAGCATGAGTTAAATCCAGTCTTGTAAGAGATTAGGTATTACAGTATTTTACCACATTTTACATCTCCATGAATTGGCTTTTTGTGGCCTCACTCGTTTACCTTCTCCAAAACTCCAGACACTGGAAATGGTCCACTTACCCCAGAGGTTGCAGCAAACTGCTTGGCAAAGTGCTGCATGTTGGTCGTGTAGACCTGGTTGTAGAAGTCGATAAGATTGCCCCTCCGCTCCTGAGAGGCTCCTGGGTAATGTGTCGATGGTGTGTCAGGAGTCACCATTATGTCATAATCTACTTGATTTCCTGTGGCTGTGAAAGAGGAAGTGTTTCATTTGGACAAACAGCATATATATATTACTGCAACAGTAAATGCAAAGCTCTTCTGCAGTGTCTGCTCTGTTTATATTATATCATATTATAATTATATATTGTAATCAATTAAAAATCCTTCATCGACTAAAAGACTAAACAAACCATAATTCGATTTATTACTGAATACATTCCTGTACTATAATCAAAATACTGCATGTTGACATGTATTTGTCAGTCTGACAGCACTGTACCATACTGTGTGTTTTATTACATGTACATGTCGACCTGTGTGTGTGTAATGACGGACGGGGCTATTTCTGTTGTTACTTCCTCATACAGATGAGTGGCATTTATATTTACTCAGTGGTTTCTGTCCTCTGTTGGGAGGGTTGTCCATGTTACGTCCTGAAATCAGCACATTGCTACAGACCTGAGGACAGAAACCACCAATTCAATAATATTTAACCAATGTTGCCATAACACACAATGCTCAAATACACCTCACAGATTAATGACCCCATGTCACACCCAATGCAAAGTGCAGCCCAGTGCAATGCAAGTATCCAAAGCACAGTCGCTTCCCTCTGCTTCTTTTAGTTTTAGCTTGGGTTGCTTTAACAAGCTGTAACAAGCAATACCTTTCATATCTCATGCAAAGCACAGTTGAAATGAGCGATACAACTAAGGTTGCCTTGCTCCCTATAGGAGCTGATTGTTAAAACATCTTATGCGCTTGTCTCCATCTGAGGGCGTATTTCTCTTAATGCATTATCAAAATACTAACATGCACCTATATAGACGGGTGTTCGACACATGTTTAGTCTGCTTGTTACACACAGAGATGTGCAAAATGAAGGAGTTTCCTGCATTGGCTCTGCAAACCTGGAAAATCTGTCACTATAAAAGCAATCCACCAAGACTGACTTTTAAAGGCAATGTACAAAATATACACCTACAAATTATTAAGTACAATCCCTCTGAACCATGTGCCTTTTTCCATTAAACTACAAAAAATGGATCTTGACATGCCATAAGCCATAAGTTGCACCATGTACTCTAGTTAAAGTAGTAAACTTGCAGCGTGAGACTCAATTTTAAACTTATGTACAATCAACTTTTATGTGATTCATTCAGAGATGATCTAGAAGAAAGACGTACACTTTTCCTGGCGTGTGGGTGAGACTTGTAGCACTTCATTATGCATTTAAAGGGTATCTCCACCTTGTTAACCTGTAAAAACAATGTCAATTCAACAAGTTAATAACTGATTATGTCTGTTACGCCTTTTAACACCTACTGATAAAATCTTAATGTTTAATGATATAAAGACATTTTCACCCTGTAAGGGCTGAAACTGACTTTTCACTGTGCTGCTTGTTCTGACAACATAACTGCACTGTCAATTAATAAAAGCAGAATAAAATGTATTACATCAACATGTCTCAGTGTATTTCCAACTCATTATCACAAAATGATTTGCAACAATAGAGAGAAATCTAAATAAATAGTGTTCAGAGATAGAATGTGATTCATTTAAACTTATACAGACTATTTTATTTTTTATTTAGTCGGACATTGGATAGAAATATCTTTAAACAGGAGGATGCATCGCTCCATGTAATGATCTCTTCTCATCATCCAGCCGCTCTGCACTGTGCTTTCATTATTACTCGCCTGCTGAGCAAAGCACAGACAACATATATTAGCTATAATCAATCGTCTATTTTATGATCATTCTCTCATCTTCTCACACCAGGTAAGTGGGAGGCGTGAGTTTACTCTGAGGGCTGGTTTCACTGTGAGGTGTAGAGTAATCGACCACTGAGGAGAGAGAGAGAGAAACCTTCTGAGCTGTGTATGAAACTGGTCCTCGCTTTGTCATCATATAGGTGATGAAGATTATATGCTTCTGTTATGATCATTTATTTCTGCATAACATGTGTAATATTACTGGTGGGACTAAAATGAGATACACCAAACTGTTTGTAGCAGCTATTAGATGTTCAAGATGCTGTAAGAGTATAAGAGAAAAGCAATCATAAGATTTAACACTTTTGGAACCAGGTGAAATCATATCGTGATGTGATCTATGTCATTTTATTCTTGAGCCTTGAAGCTGGCCTAGTAGCCTGTAACCTTCTATTTTACGCCACATATCTTAAAGCCTATGTGCTGGCGACATCTAGTGGTATCTAATCAGTTCATCCATAAAAGGATAGTTTACCAAAAAATTTAAATGCTCTTATTATTTACTCACCATTATTCCGACGGAGCGGGGTGTCTGCTGCTGCAAGTAGCAAGGCTACTGTGCACCCCATGCGTACCCTTAGGTGTGTGTAGAGTGTGTGTGTGTGTGAACGTGGCTCCAGAGGAGGATATGAGAGGACATTTGGTGGAAATGACGCCGTCTCAAGTCAAATTTGAATGTCGGGGCTTGCGGAAACATGGATGACCCCACAGGAGCAGTATGGAGGCATTTAATGTTTTGCTGTTTACTACTGAATCTCCAAAAGTGTTTTGGGGACTCAAACCCCCACCATTAGCATAGTGGTGAGTAGATAATCAGTGAATTTTCATTTTTCAAGGTGTTCTTGAGATATCGTGTTCACAAGAATGGGACGAACAGACAACCTGAGAACATAACACAGCGCTGGCCACTGACTGTCGCCAGCGCAGAGGTGTAAAATGTAGACTGAAACTGCGCTGGTTGGCGGAGGCCAAACCACAGGGTGGTAAATCTAGTTCATGAGTTGAATTTCAAAATCTTTCCCTGATCCTCCCACTTATACACTGTTCTTGATTCATCGTTTTCAAAGCAGTCTCAAGAGAATAAATGATGTCAAATTACAAACTTTTGTTTAGTTTTTTTTGCCCCCCCTTTTTTAAAAACCAGCAGATATCAGGTTTACCAGACCAATTAATGGTCATCATAAATTCTCTCAGATACGTCACAGCTTACCTTAGCTATGATGTAGATGGCACACATGAGCAGTTGGTCCAGGTGACGGTCGACCATGAGGTGGGAGCAGTAGACCAGAGAGTGCTCGAAGCACGTCCAGATCTGCAGCAGCAGCTTGTCAGAAACGTCCAGTGTGGAACACAGCTCCCTCAGACGCCTGCTCATCAAACTGTACACCTGAGACAAAACATGGCTGCACTAAATACACAGTGAACTGCTGTTTGAATCAGAGAATATGATTGTGTGCACTAGAAGACGGCTGTAGTGTGGTGGATCAGCTGACCTTACGAGCAAACAGAAGGAGGGGGCTGCTCCTCTGAGGCCTGTTCACAGCTGATGGTAGAAATGTTAGCTCGCAAACTGACCAACTGACGTCCACTGACAAAAACACAACTGACCAGTCAATCCATAATGAGATTCTGTGAGCACTTACAAGTGAGGAGTTTATTAATAATAGGTTAAAGCTGGGGTTGGTAATCCTGGAAAAGCTAGCAAGAGAAGGCCTCATGTCAAAGCCACGCCCCGAAAACACTCTTTCAACAATCTTTCCTGTGACACGCATGCTAACCAATCATTTCATTCGGACCAAATGAAATGATTGGTGGTGTTTATTACAGCTTTTTCTCTTTCTTATCAGACGACTTTATTTATTGATGGCTATCAGGTTGTGAAGAGAATTTTAACAAATAACAACTTACCAGCCCTAGAGTTAAATTCAAAAGAGTTATAGTAAAAGTGTTTTCACCTGCTGGTTTTGTGTCAGGCTGTAACTCGGTTCTCTTTGGATCTTCAAGCTGTGCAGGAGGCATCACCTACATATAACACAAAGTTATTAAGGTCATGTATGTGCTTGTCATGTTTTCATAACGATTCATCACGCAGTCATTCTGTACTGTTCCAAGAAACATTCATCATATTTCAAATTTATTCTCAGAAATCGACGCAACCTTGAGAGAACCTTGAGTACGAAATGTTAAACATCCCCCTGCTGCCTTATGAAGAGGTTTTGTGTTGTTATTGCCGACCTGTTGGCAGGTTAGCAGATGGCCCCTGTTGGATCTGATTTCTTCCCACAGCGGTGAGTCGCTGGTCCAGGCCAAGCTCTCCAGAATGTTCTCCTCCACCTGGGAGAGGTGTCTGACGACAGCATGAGTCAGTCCTGCTTCAGCCCGCAGCACCAGCTCAATCACCTGGCAGGGAGACAGTGATCAAAGTGGAAGGTGGCAGAGCCGTCATTTGTTTTTGTCACCAATTCAAATCCCATAGTTTAAATCTGGGAGGCAAACATCCACTCTACGTTTCTGATAAAGCTTATAGTTGGACCAGTTCTTAGTTATGCTGCTCTAGGTCTAGATCGTCAGGGGACAGATGACGCATGGAGCTTCTCTGTCTTCCTCTTCTTCTTCATCACATTAACGTCTCATCAGTACATGACACTGACTAGACTTCTTCACCGGAGTCCTTGTGCTCTATTGTTTCTAGGATGGCAGCTGTGGCCGTGTCTCGGATCGTGGTGGCACCTGATCGTGGATTATGATCACAACTAGATTACGTATATATACAATATGCCTCCACACATATTCGACTATTATTAGCTATTTGTCAATGCTGCTGCCTCCATCTCTGTCAGACATTTTCTTACTTTAATCATTGGCCACTTTATACTGCATTCACGTGTATTACATGTGATAAATATATGTACGTAACGTACACACAAATGTTTTGCAAACTGCTCAAAAATATCCATTCTCTGATATAGATAAAGGGAATATTTGTTACCTTAACGCAGTAAATATTTTGATTCACAAAATGCCAGTCATT